TGTATATTTGTGTGTGTGTTTTCATGCCTTTGTTGCATCATTTTGGCCACTAATTTTGGCATGCTTGAGAGCTGCCCATATTAGTTTAAGTCCATCCTTTATATGTCATCACATGTTTACCTTGCGTGCTTGAATGACCATGTTGCATCTTGTATGCATGACTAGGTTGCATTGCATTTGGAATACTTGTTACCTCAACATGCTTATGTTGCGTTAGTCTTGCTTGCATGTTTGCATCCCATCCCTCTTGATCAAACATGATGGAGGTTGGGGCCCCTTTGTATGTTTTGTGTGCATTTCATTTTACATTGAAATTGTATACTTGGCCTTTTGGGCCACCATGCATTGAAATGCGCAATTGATGGCCCGAGGGTCGAGGACCACGCTCCCTTGAGTCCATAACATGATTGGGAGAGTGGCCAAGCATGACCCTTCTCCCGACTTGCTCCTTGATTGGAACTGCTCTCATTTTGAGTGGCGAAAGCGTCGTCCACAATTTTTGCAACAACTGCGAGTACTTGCTGTTTGTTTAGCCCTTCGGCTTTCAAAGCCACAATATCCCACTGAAGGTGTTCATGGGGACTAACGCTTGCCCCTGCCTTGTTCTTATCACTGGCCTCCACTTTGCTAAAAGATTGGCCTTCTCCCAATGCAGCCCGTCCTGAGGAGCCTTTTGACATGAACTCCCTGGTATGTGATGCGGTTGATGACGGAGCCAAAACTCCAAAGGCCAGATCTGCCATAGTTCTCTGAAGATCTTCGATCATCTTCATCAGCTCAGAAGTAGTGGGTTCATGGGTTTGAGATAATTGGGATTCAGATGCACCCATCATGCATAAGTCCATGCTTTCCGGGATAAACACCTCAGGCTTGGGTAGATGGGCCAGGGTGATGTATATGCTGGGGTTGTAAGGGACGGCCAGTGTATGGATCAGATTGAGATGTGGATGAGGTACTTGGTCATCGGGGGCTGAAGGTGGAGCTATCATCCGGTTGTCGATGAGATTTTGGACCTCATGACGAAGGCGGTAGCAACGGTCGGTGCCATGACCGTGCTGCTGATGGTACATACAGTACTTTGAGGGGTTATGTCTGGCTGGGAGTGGGTCAGGCAAAGGTTGAGGATCGAGGGGTTTAAGATGCCCTCTTTCCATCAAGACTTTTAGTGCACTAGTCAGGCTCATATAGAGGGGGGTGAAAGTTCTGCCCTGAGCTCGGGCTGGGCCGGCTGTTTGTAGGCTTGGTTTGGAAAAAGGGTTAGCTGTGGCAACTGTATTGATTTCAGTGGGTTTGGGAATGACGCTACAACCAGCATTGGTACTCCCTGCAATCGCCGTCCTTGTCAGTTCACTTGTTCTGGGAATGATCCCGCTGTTGAACACATTCTCGACCTGAACCCCCAGTTCATGCAAACTTTTGAAACTGAATAGTGGAGCGACTATTAACTTTTGCAACATATCATGCTCGAGGTTTCACACCATCATTTGCACTTGATCCCTCTCAGAAGGGCGATCTGTCATCTGTGCTGCCTTTGCCCTCCACCTTGCTACAAATTCCACAAAAGGCTCTGTTGGGTTCTGGCGAGTCGTTTCGAGCTCTTGCATGGTCATTTCAACTTGGGTATTGTAGGAATACTGATCGACAAAGGCCTCAGCCAATTCTTCCTAGTCTTGCTTCACTTTGTCCTCCAACTTAGTGTACCAAGTGGCTGCTACACCCGACAGGGTTCTTTCATACAGAGAGAGTTTCTGTGGCTTGGTCAGACCCATCGGCCTCAGGATATCCAAGAAAAGTCGGATATGTACCATTGGATCTCCAGACCCGTCGAAACGGTCAATACATGGCATTTTGAATCTGTTTGGGAGCCGAACAGTAGCCTCGGTGTGCTCATTCTCAATGTCAGGAATGGAGTTAAGGCCCTGTGCCTTTTTGAATTGCCTCTGAAGGTTCGCAACTTTCACTACAGTCGGATTGAGCTCATTAACATCAAGGGAATAAAGCCTCTCATTAGGCTGCACCAGGGGTCTGAGCACTTGAGCTTGAGTCAGCCTTTCTCGAGGATTTGGACACTGCAAATCTTCAACTGGCGGAAGTGGGTCAAAGTTTGGCTGGGGTCCCGAAGCTGGATGTGAGGCAGATGCCCCAGATGGACGCTGCATTTCAATACTGGTCTCAGCCTGCATGGCAGTTCCCTGATTTAATGCTGCTATCACGGCCACAAATTCTTCCGAACCCTGTGCCATCATGGTCTGCTGAGTCTGAACAAAGGTGATGTGACTGGCGACTGACGGATCAGATGAACCGGTGAGCCCTGACTGGCCTTTCTTTGCCTTGCCTCAGCGAAAGAACACTGGTTGCCCTTGAATTGAATTTCTGACCTAACAAAGTCTATCAGCACTAGTCCAATGTACCCGGGGGATATCGGAGCCTTCTGAAGCTGTGGTTCCAAGACTACCTTGCAAAAGAGAAAATAGACAGCACCTCAGCCTGATTTCACCAAAACAGATATGACTCTTTACTGAATTCTGCCCCAAAGTTCTGCCTGTAAACTGATACCCTCAGGTAGAACTGATTCCCCAAATACTGATCGTGGTGCCCACAGGCCTGATACTCAAACTTGCAAACTGATACATGCAATCCTGTAGAGGCCAACTCTAAAGCACATAGCAGATAAGTGAGAGCCAAAACACCCCTATGTTAGGGTAGGGTTTCCCTGTCCTATTTTGTCAGGATCTAGGGTTTCACTACGCACGCAGCGGTTTTCAAACAACCTAACATCGGGTAAGCAACCTATCCTAATTTGGGATGGTCACTATGGATTTCGATATGCACTAGGTCGAATGGTCGAAAAGGGTGCCCCGGTAAAACTAGGGTTTGTGTTCCCATATTGTCAGAGCCCACAACCGGTCAGCCTTATGGCATGCTTTGACAAAGTCAAGCCTCGGGCAAACCGTTCAGGAATGGCAGATGGCAAACACGGTGTCCTAGGTGCACCAATGCACATGCAATGCAAAGAGACACATAAATGAAATCAAAACAGGATATCATGAGTTCGAGTCAAGCTCTCTAAACTCCCCAGCAGAGTCGCCAGAAACTGTAGACGTCCCCGAACGTCCCGGGAGGATGAGTCCTGTTCTGTTCATCTTGGGCTCACTACAGTTCGGACTCTCGAATTGTCACGGTTCTTAATCTGAACCAAAGAGTCCAAATCTGGAAAATCGTTTTGAGAAAACAGATTTTTAGAAAAAGAAGTGCCAAACATAGACTGCTTTGCCAGATACAGAGTCGCCACCTAAATATTTTATTTTGGGAAATTTAGGAAACCCTGACTCGGTGCCAAAGGCCACGTGTCCGTCATCACCAAAGTTGCCTCGGCTCGGGAACTTGGGTACGATTGGGGAAGGTCAGCTATGAGCACCCCCTCTCGCCCGATCCGAAGATCGGCCTCTACTAACCATGATATCCGTTTTTGAAAACACTATGAGTTCTTATACCGGTTATTAGCCTAGAATTACTATGTTATGCGCACAGCAAACAAGTATAGACCAAATTGCCTAATTTGGAACAAAACATTTCATGCTTGTTTTGAAGATGGTTTGCTACTCGCAAGTAGGCTAAAATGCAGGTTTTGCCACCCTCGAGTGGGCTTTAGAAAAGATGGTTTTGCCACTATCTAGTGGGCTTAAAACTCACAGTTTTAATGCATTATTCCAATTTAGGTAATTCAACCTCCATCCACAGGCATTCAAGCTGTTATATCACATAAGCAGCTAGCCTTATGGTAATCATGCAATTATGACAACACTCACACGCATGCGGTATGCTAAAGCAAAAGGACTTACAGAGTATTTCAAGCCAAAACAGAAACTAGTTAGTAATCACATGCATGATCCTAGTTCATATTTGAAATGGCTAATGCAACACATGCAAAGATGCAATTCAAACAGGCTCGGCTATCCTAAACATGGCATGTGAAATGCTGCAACTAACAAATACTCAACTTGGAATTGAAATACGAGTGCAGTTAGCATGATGTACCGAGCCTGGTGCATGTAAGACAAATGTATGGATGCACGCATCCTAAGCATAAGGTATGCTAATTTAAATATGCCCTAGTCTACCATCATAAGCGGGTAAATAAAAGAGAGAAAGAAGTGGGGGTTGGAAGATATGCACACACTCACCCACACTTATTACAAGTCGCCCTCGCTCGGAGGGTCCAAATAAATATTACAGTCCGGATAATAAACACATTAATTATTACAAAATTTCTAATTAATTAACAGAATAAATGAAAAAAGAAAGATGGCCACAGCCCCCCGCCTCGGGATGCGCGAATGATGTATGCTCGAACCCGTCTCGCCCGGAAAGTCCGTACCATACCACTGCCGCCTCTGTTTACACTGCCCTGCTTCTCTGAAAATTGCCAAAGTTCTGGGACAGGTCCCCTGAACACTGTGGAACACCATCGGCTGAAGGAAATGTCCACCGGCCATTGAAAATATCCATCGGCTACTGACGAAGCTACCGGCCCAGGAAGGATTGCCGGTCGGCACTGAATACTGCCGGTCGGCAGAAAGTTCCTGCAGAACCTGCAATTGACAGCAGCAGAGGGCAAGCAGTGTATGGCATGAAATTTTCAAAGCAATGTATGCATGGCCACTCTCCTAATCATGTAATGGACTCAAGGGAGTATGCCCCTCGACCCTTGGGCCATCAATTATGCATGATGGCCTAAGAGGCCAAGTTTTGCAACTTCGATATCAAATGAAATGCAAGCACTGGTATATGCGTCCCTGTAGAGATACACTCCAAAAGCACATAGCAAGTAAGAGAGAGCCAAAACACCCCTATGTTGGGGTAGGGTTTCCCTGTCCTATTTTGTC